TAAATGATACTTAGCAAGTACACAAAACACATTAACACTTAAGCAAAATTGAGTTTTTGTCCCATCATGTCACCCACTTCTGATATAAGAGCAGTGAGAAAGAGGCACTGAACAAAAATACCTATTGGGAAACATGATTGAATGTGCAGTAAAGCTGGATTCCCAGGATGGGGAAATGGCTTATAATGAGGTGTGACTGAATTAAACACCTGGTGGTTGCAGTATACAATTAAATCACTCCCTCTGAACTCAGTTTCACTTATGAACTTATGAGGTAACTAGGTGTTTTTTTTTTGACACATGGCAAATAAACTTCTCAACCACAATGGTGGTTAAGTCTTGTTTAGGCAAGAGAAAACTGGTTTTTCAAAAGTTTTCCTAGTCTACAACTTCACATTTCAGCTCCAAAAATTAATTTACTGGATGAAGGCTCTCTGATGACAATTAGGATAGTCACCATCTGATTATAGGAGAGTGCCAGTTCAGTCTACTATCCACTATTGTTAGGAGTCTTAGCTGGGGTCATCCTTATAGATTCATGGGAGTTTCCCTTACATCAAGTTTCTACCTGACTCCAAAATGAGCCCCCTTTCCAATGATCTCTTTCAGTACTCTCCACATCTGCCCATCCCTCAACTGAATCTTTCAAGTTCCCATCCCTATCCACCCCAGTCTACCCAGGAGATCTGTTCTATTTCCCTTTCCCAGGGAGATCCATGTGTATCCACTTGGGCCCTCAGTGTTACCTAGCCTTTCTGGATCTGTTAATTGTAGCATGGTTACCCTTCACTTTACAGCTAGTATCCACTTATGAGTTTGTCTCTCTGGGTCTGAGTTACCTCACTTAATGTTATTTCTAATTTCATCCATTTGCCCTAAAATTTCCTCATGTCATTGGTTTTAACAGCTGAATAATACTCTGTTGTGTAAACATACCACATTTTCTTTATCCATTCTTTGGTTGAGGGACATCTAAGGGGCCACTTCATTATTACACCAGAAGGTGGATCTGCTCACCTATTACATCCTCATCAGCAACATAATAGTGTTAACAGTTGGAGCTTGGGGGAGGTGACTAGAAAATGGGGATGGATCCACGAATGTGACAAATGTAACCAGAGAGGTGCCCATTTGTTTCCCAGTGTCAGAAAACTGCCACAAGGCCACCTCTATCATCCATAGACCAAATCTGGTAGTGACTTGAAGCTGGATATCTTGGCTTTCAGAACTGTGAGAAATACTTTCTTTTGTTTAAAATCTACCTAGTCTGTGGCATTTTGTTCTAGTAGCAGGAATGGACTATGATCAGGACCCTTGCTTCTAATGGGAAAAGGGAATTCTTTACCTCATATTCATAGTGAGCTGGGATTCTTGCATGTGTTCTTCACCTTGAACATGGCCGCTGTGTGTGTGTGTGTGTGTGTGTGTGTGTGTGATCACACACACACACACACACACACACACACACACACACACACACATCTAGGCACCAGGTAATGGGGGAGAGATAGCTTTTTGCTAATAGAAAAGTACTTAAGTTAGGTTTTTCACATTTTTGTAACCATTTTGTAAAGTGATTATTTTCCAAATAATCACTGGATTATAAAACAACAGATGTGGCAAAGGTATGGAACATAGCAGAGTGTAAATACTCGGATATTTAATGATGAAGAATTGGCTCTTGTTAAAAATCCTGAACATTTTGAAAGATTGAGAAATAGATCATAGAGCACCAAACAGTTAATATTATGGATACTGACTTTGAAAGAGTCCAGATCAAGCTTTCTTTTACCCTTTAGTTATTGAGGGTTTTTAAAGCCAGTTTAAAGAGAATTGCCAAAAGTATTTGAGTGATTTAAAGATAATGGTAAGAAAATTGGGAAAGTGAAATGACAGAAGAAAAGAAGATCTCCAAAGTAAAAGGAAAATACAAAAGGGGAATCTAAGCTCCGTGGAGTTATAGAATGACCAGGTTCTTACACTTCTGAAAGACAGATTCAGCTATTTATTAAAAGGGAAGGAATGTCAAAACAAACTTCTACTAAACTTTCTAGCTTTGTTTTCTTTTTTTTTTTTTTTGATGCATGATGTTACCCCTAGTTTGAGTGCTTTGAGTATATTTAAATAGGAATCAAGTAGTCATTAAATACCAAAAATTCTGTGAATATTTTATCTATGTCTTTCAGAAATCAGATACAGAAATAAAAACCATATATATTTTAAAACAAGTATTGAAAACAAATCAAAATGATATGTTCTGTAAATGGCATGCATTATTTATAGAATCGATTCCAATCAGAAATATTACATATGCACATATATCAATTATGCTAAATAGAATTCAGATATTTAATGACTAGCTTCTACAGCAGGCTCAGAACTAATTATGAAATGAGTAAACTATTATCCATCTTTCTGGATGGTTCTGAAATATCCTTGAGTATTTAGCATTGTTTTGAACAAGACATCATATATTAGTTTGTACATTTGACAGTGAATTAATTTTATTAATCAAATAGATTTGCATTAATAGTTTCACTAACACAAAACTGGAATGACTCAATGCTAGAAAAGCTGTTCAAAGTCATTTCTGGGTATAATTGAGCACTCCGAGTCTCTGGTTCTGATAAAATATTAATATACTGATGATGTTCATAGCTTTTCTTCTACATCAATAATGACATTCTTTGTCATTATTTCAGATGAGATAAACCTGAATTATAAGTGGCTATTAACATCAAGCAAAAGATTTTCCAAATATCAGAAAAAATGTTTTTTTAAATACAAAATTGATTTCAAAATAATTTTTAGTAAGTTGTTATTTTCCTCAAAACCATATTATTGTAAAATTAGTGTTTCTATCCCCCTTATTCCTTTGTGTCCTGTTGTGGGAACCATAGGAACAACTCATGTTGTGTGGGACTTACACATGGAAGTGTCTTTAATACTGTTCGATGTATTGTTTGCTCTCAAGCAAATGAATTGAACTCATGGATTCAAATGCTTTCCCTCTCTCTTATTACCTGCTGAAAAAATGAGAGGAATAATTGTGATGATTAAGTGATATTTACTATCTGGGAAACAGGTAGACTTCAACCATATTCCTCTTAGTTTCTTGTGGTGCTAAGTCCTGCTCTTACTACCTACCCTGGAAGTAGGGTTGGGGGTGGGCCGGGACTTTCTCTGGAGAGAAGGAATTTTGGCTCAATTGTCCATTTCAGCGACAACTGACAGCATCTGATTCTCATTGGGATGTGACTCTTCTGACTGTGGGATGGTGGAAGATCGAGCTAGTTGGTCTGTTTGAAGACAACGAAATTACGTGAAGTTCAACAATCTAGCAATCATCTGGAAAGATTTTAAAATGCCATGCTGGGTAGGCTGACTAATATATATAATGACAAGTCATGTTTCATTGTTTTCTCAGAGGCTTTTTCCTCTTATTGTTGAACATCAGCTATTTTCCCTTGCGGGTTGCCATGGCAACAGTAGAGTAGGTTTAGTTTCGGGAAGTTTTGGTAGTTTTTTTCTTTTCCTTTTTTTTTTTTTTTTTAAAAAAAAAAAAACTTTTTATTTATTCTGTCTTTTGGATCATGCCTCTTGATTCCACCCATCTCCTCCGCTCCCACAAAATAAAATTTAAGAGAAAAAAAGGGGGAAAGGTGGAGGGAATCTCAACACGGAAGCTGCAATGTGACACAGTGAGTTATCCAGTAAACTCCTTTATCCATACATCTTTACATGCAGATGTTCATGGAAGAATCACTGGTCTGTTTCAAGGCCCCTGGTCTCAGCTACACCATCTATGCTGAATCCTCACTGGGACTCTTCCTGGACATCCTAATGCTGCTCTGTGTCATGGAGATCCTGCAGCTCTGGGTCCGCAGGATACCCGCCGCTGCCATGCTCCAGAAGATGACAGATGGGATGGATGTCGGGGTGGGCCAACACATAACCCAGGTTTTGGGCCTATTTGCAAGGTTGGTCAGCCTGCCAGCTCTACTCTGTCTTCACTACCTGGGCAGGCTCTTCAGCATTGCCCCAGCTAGTTCTCCCCTTCAAGTATTGAGCAAGGGGCGGGGCCAGTTCTCCGGCTTTCACAGCCTCAGAGTTGGTTCTCCCACATCTACACCTTCAGGGTCAGGTCTACTGTGTTGCCCAGACAAGGTGTAGGGACCACTCTCCGGAATGTTGCAGCTGATGAAGGGCTGCGACAGCTTTCCCACTCTTATGACCTCTGGGCCAGTTTGCATAGTTTTCTTTCCCCCAATATCACCATTACTGATTTATTTCATGTAACCAAGGAGTCAATTATCAAGGTAATTAAAATATTTCAACACATGCATTTCTGTAGATCAATCTGAAAACAATGATAAACTGCTTTGTTCATTTTTTTTTCCTGGACAATGCCAACATTTAAGTTTTAATAAGGTTGATCCTTATAAATTGCTTCTAAATAAAACTAGCTCATTTTAGTTACTATGCATTATTGACTTGTTCTAGTAGCAAATGCATTTTTCCAACATTACCCGACTGCTATTCTTTTTCAATAAATTTACTATTAATTGATTTTTTTGTACGTTAAGCGTATTTCCAGTCACATAATAAATGTTCAAGAAGTGACGTTTCAGTTATTATACATTATTGAATAGGCCACTGGTCAGATTTGAGTATAATTGGATTATATGAACAGACCTTGTTTTCATAGGCAATTAGCGGACTAGTTAACTAGTTAATGTGGAGATAGACACTGAAGTATGTCCATGAAAAGAATCCCTTTGATTCTCTGGGCATTGCATGGATTCTATGTGGTTTTAGAGATCAAATCAAATTTCCTGATGGAGTTTGATCTTTTCGAGTAATGGAGAATCATTCTGAAGTGAATTTGTTAAGAGAAAAGGAGGCCTTCCTTTAAGGGAGGGAGCTTCTTTCTTGTGATGAGCTCAATAGGTGCAGTGGATAGAAGGAAATAATCAGCCTCTACTTGTTGTGACACTCACCTTAGGGCCTTGACTTTAGTTTGTTCTGAAATTCATATCTGCATTTGATGTGATGATCACAGGTGTGGGCCGAGTCACACAGCCAATCAGAGGTAGAATAGGGTGTATGCTACCAAAGCTTGGTTCATTTCCACTGCATGATGCTAGCTGTTTCACTCTGAGTGGTCCTCAGGGCATCTAGTCAGACCTTGCTGACTAGTCACAGAATGTTTCCATAAAGAAACTCTCCAGAGTTCTAAAGGGTGATTCTTTTCAGTGTCATGGAATCCTTATGCGTAAAGAACTTTTCAAAATTTCAGCTTTATTTATTTTAATGTCCTTCAACTACCTCTATGTGTGGGTTGTGCAGTCCAAGGACTAGCACCAAGGACATTACTTTAAAAATCCAGATATGTAGCCCTATTCGGTTTATCGAATCAATGCCTGGTTTTTAATCAGTGTCCTCAAGTGATATGTAGCCACTTTAAAATTGAGACTCACTATCCTACTCCACGATCAAAATGCTCTTAAATAACCCTGGAAACAAGAGAATAAACAAAAGCATTACACTCTCTCAAGGATCAACAACTGTGTTTGGCTTGCCTATATTCCTAATGGCAATACATGCAACACATTAAATATTAAACATTTACCAGGTAAGGTATAGTTCCCAGCCTCAGTAACTCTTGTTTCCCTGCCACTGAGGTCACTTGATTCCCATCTGTGTGACTTTCTTACATTGCTGCATTTCTTGGAGAAAACTTCATCTAAATAAGAAAATTGCTCAACAATTGCAGCACTCACTACTCTGTGGCTCAGCCTCAGGACATCTTTAGTGTGTTCTGAGATCATGCAGTCCCTCTTCTGTTGCTGCATCTTCAGAAAAATATCACACTATTTCTTTTGCAGGTCTGGCATTTCCTTCTCCACCTTCTGGGAGCTGGTACTTATGGTTGACCCACAGAGCTGCCCCTAGTCTTCTGGGTTTTCTGTTGTTACCTTATGGCTGGACTAATAAGCTTGGATCCTGCTTACGTAGTCTGGTACTTACTTGAATTTGATATCCAATTTTGAATGCGTAATGTCTGATTGTTTTGGTAAATTACAGAACTCATTTAGCTTTGATTTTGTCTCACCCAATACATCCTTTTCTAAGACCTAATAAGGTGGAGTATTTTCTGTCTGAGGGGGTGATTTGAAATTGCATTTCTATGGATTTCTTGTTTCACTGTTAGTCACCTACTCCTGAACCCAAAGAAATAACAATTATAGATTCATTTGTAATAAGTTAGTTATTATGAATATCATTAAATGTGCAGATTACTTATAAATTAGAAAACTTATGTGTTTAACATTCTTATAATTTCTGTCATCTTTTGATGGAGAAGTTTGATTTTTCAAAGTGACTGAAATTAGAAAAACGTGATAGCTGTGAGTATTTTGACAGCTTATTCAAAATCCACGAAGAGCATATTATTAATATATCATGTTAAATGGAAGTTCTGGCATAAAGAAAATATGTAAAACTTTAGAAAACCAATGATGAAGATAATTTAAAATATATTATCCCTAAAAGTAAAAGTTTGACATGAAGATTATTACTTGACTGTAAAAAAATAAAACCGATTTTAAATCTGTGTTACATGGTCCTTCTTCAGGCCCTAGATTATTACTCTTTCTAGGAGGTCTTGTTTTTGATGTATTGTTTCTATCCCAAACTGTCTAGTGAAGACAGAGCCCCAGGTTTTTCCAGAAACCTATTTCTGCATTGCATCTTCTTTCACTCTGTGCTTTTAGCACTAGGCTGCCTGAGGTCTAACATGCTGGAACAAAGTTCGCTCATTTCTCCCTGTCATGTTATATTCAATCATTTTTATTGCAGTATTGCCTCCCAGACTTTAGAAAAACTTCTCTTTCTACACCAAAACTAGTCCCATCTTTATTTTGGTTAGCACAAAACTATTTTGTTACAATTCCCTCCTCTTTGGTTTCCAAGTATCTACTTTTCTGTTTCCATGTAATTCTGGTTATGAGTGTGAGACCATTGGAATGCTTTCTTCATCAGACTTTCTTTTACAAATGTACTCAATTTACTTTCTCCCTTCCTTCCACACTTCTCTCCCTCCTGTCTCCCTTTCTAACACAAAGACACAGACACACAATAATTAGGTAAACTTCTCAATCTTAGCACTTTAAAATAAACTTTGAAAATGGATATTTTATGTCTCATTTCATGGTACCGTCCCTGTAATCATGATCTCAAGCAGTTACAGCCACTTGCACAAGACTGGCCCTGTCATCAGCAAGCATAAACCAGGGAGGGACTCACAGACCTATAGTCCACCTTGCTCATCTATTTGGCTACTTACTGATGGATTCTGGAAGAGAGATTGTCACTGTCAGTCCTACCTGCAGGTGAGTTCACCAGACTCCACTGCATAGTGCAAAACTCATGGACACACAGACAGTCTTGGTTAAATTTTAGTGGGTCATAAGACCAAATATAAGGATATGAATATAGAAAAGGGACTTATAAAGAAGAGGGAGCCTTATGAGGGATAGAAGTTAGATAGTAGAAGGGAGACAGGAGAAGATGAGTTTGACAGTGATTAGAATGCATGGCATATGCATGAAACTGTCAAAGAAAACTTAATAACAATTATACATACATAAACTCTAGGTGCTTTTTAAGTAGTGTAATGGGATACCACTTCTCCCATTCCATCCAGACTAGGACACACAGCTTCTCTTTGTTCAGCACATACACCATGCAGAACATGATGTCCACTTGTTAATCATTTAGCTACTTTGGAAATCAGCTTGACTACTTTGGTATGACAGTGCTTGTGCTCAATAAGTTTTCTTTGTTTAATGGTGTTACCAAAGGGTAAGAGTCAAGTTGTCAGTTCAGATAGATCAAAGAGAAGGAAACAAGTAGTTCCTTTAAATGATATGGTGACGGTATGACAAAATAAGCTGAGGATCAGAGCCTACTTTGGCCTGATTTTGTATAGTGCATGTTTATAACTTTCTATGACTCTATGCATGTTTGTTATTAATCTCCCACTGTTCTTAACATGCAAATTAAATTGTACCGTAGTCACACACACATAGGAAAAGAAATCACATATATAGTAGTTTGGATTATCCATGATTTTACTCAGGACTCAGAGCAAAACTCTTGTAAATAAGAATAGATTATTGTGTACATTTGTGTTCATCTATATTTGTTTGTACTTATGTATGGATTCACACACACACACACACACACACACACACACACACACACACACACACACACGTGTGTGTGTGTGTTGATATACCAATGAATGCAGTTGATAAGCTAATTAATATTGTGCAACCAAGTCCCAGAATAAAGAGAAATATCTTCTAGTATCCAATATTTTCAAACCAATTTCTACTGAAACTTCATCCAGAGCTCACTTTTCAAAGTTTAAGATACTTATATTTTTGTTATATATGCATATATGAGTTCATGAGTGTGGTTATTTCCACATAGAGGTCCTTTTCCAGTACCTTCCTCTATCATTCTCCAAGGTATGTTTTGAGACAAGGTCTCTCAGTAGACCTGGATATCATCCATTCATCATGACTAGCTGGATAGTATACTCCCAGTATCTTCCTGTCTACATTTCTGTAGGGTTAGGATTATAAGCATATACCATGATGTTTTCCCATTTTACATGAGTAGTAGGGACTAGACCTCAGGTCTTCCTGTTTGTGCAGCATGCACTTTTAACACCTGAGCTATCTCTCCAGTCCCACATTCCTGTTATACCATGATCTTCCTGGACACCAATCAGATGACATAAGTCATGATGCAGTAATAAACAAGGCCACCTGACTACAATAAAAAATTAAAGACTTTTCTAATTTAATGTTAAATGCTGTTGCAGTTCTGTTATATATGGAATTCACTAATTGACATATTGCCCTTTTTGATCCTAAAAGAAAGAGAAATTGTCATTGAAAATTATACACATGTACTTGAAAGCCTTTGCACAGTGAATATGGTCTGTTTTAATTATCTTTCTTTCTATGCTGCACTGCCCATATATTTGCCTAAAGAGTTGCCCAATTTTATAATTTATGGCTATAACTATCATCATCAACAGTTCCAGAAACCTACTTATAACAATCCCAGTATAAATTAAGAGCTATGTTTAACACTGTAAGTTAAACAGTCCAAATTAGAAATGTAAATTTGGCTCAAATGGTCTTAAATATCATTGGAGGATGTTTTAAGATTTTTGTTTAAGGGGATAATTTTCTTGTGTATCTGAAGTTTTCATAAAATTTGAATTGAACTCCTGTAAAGAGATTTTTGTTACTTCACCCATCACCTTGAAACATTTCTTTTTTCTTAATAAGAATGTAAGATAATTGAATCATATTTCCCACATATCTTCACCTTTCTCTCTCTCTCTTTCTTTCTTTGCTTCCTTCTTTCTTTCTTTTATATCTTGACTGCAGTTTATTCTTCCTCCTCTCCTCTATTCCCTCCCCCCAGCTCCCCTCTGGCTACCCCCTCAATCTACTCCTCCTCTGTTTCTGTTCAGAAAGGGGGAGGCATCTGGCGGATGTGAGCAAAGAATGGCATAAATTGCCATAAGACTGAGCACCTTCCTTCATATTTAGACTGGGCAAATGCCTCCATTTAAAAAAAATAATTAATTTTTTGTGCATGTAATTACTTAGGACATTTTGTAAAACACCGGGTTCATAAATGCATTTCCCTCTGACTTTTCAATGTTATATTGTTTTAGACACTTGTGTTTATGCCTGTAAGCTGTGTTTTACTTATGCTTTAACATGTGACTCAAGTTTTTTTTTTTAACTTCTTTTCTATTTGACATATAATTATTCTGTGATTTCAATCTAGTTTTTAGAAAACATTAGTTTTCACACTGTGCTGTTGTATTGTTCACTTTTCAAACATGGTGACCAAAGTAACTTATAGAAGGGAGAGTTTCTTTGGGGTTTTGCTTCCAGAAGACTGGATTCCCTAATGGTGAATAATGTAAGGCAGGAAGAGGTTAAAAACAGCAGTTGGAATAGGATCCTGAGAGTTCATATCTCATCCTGAGTAGGACCAGGCCTTACTTAATCTCTTAAGACTCTCCCCCAGTGACATACTTCCTAAAGTAAGGCTACATCTTCTTAAACCTGCCCAAACAGTCCTACCAAACAGTGATAAAGTGTTCAT